AGTGAGTCTCGAAATGATATCTGCTAGTAGTATAAGGTATTTCGTATCTTTATTCTGTATGAAAGATTTTTTTTTCTTTCATTAATGTAATATTTGATATTATCAATCCTTGCATTTATTTAGCAGTTTTTCTGAAAGGATTTGAGGTTGATTTTGGTCAAACCACTGTATTTAATATAATAAATAATATGATATGTTTTTGTTGAATAAATATACATTAATATAATGATAAGAAGCTCTTAACATTATAAATATATTATCTCTAAATATTAATCGATTACTTGGCATAATTTTCTCTAGTAAATTGCACGCTGCTTTAGTAAAGATTCTATTTTAGTGGAATATTTTATAAATATATATATATATATGTATTTTAAAAGAGCTAAAAACTTTAGAATTTGAATGTGGTAACTTAAAACCGTGGATAAAATGATGTACGGTTTAGGGAAAGAGCTAGACATATATAGACAGGTGGACATCTACCCACACCTTCCACAATTAGCAATTTCCCAAAGTGGCCATAGCAAAAAAGAAAATCTGAATTGGGTGGAAGTGGAAAAGGATAGGAAGCAATTATATGGTTTTTAACATGTAAATAACTATTAATTTAATTAAATTTCCTAAACAACATCATTTTCAATGTTAATCTATTTTGAAATCTAGTAATTGCATAATTATTCCTCATATTCAATAAAATGTTATAAATACTTACTTCTGGGGGTTTAAAACATGATATAAATAAAAAATTAACACCTTTCATTAAGACTAATTAATTTAAATTTTTTATATAATATTTTTGCTTTTTTTTTTTTATTGGTGCATATAATTCTTTTAATGTAAATTAATTTTCATTTGTTTTTCAACCATATACAGGATGATAGGTAAAAATAAGAGAATTATCCAGTTGCTAATATTTTTAGACGAGTAAATCTCTCATCCAGCTCCTTTTTACTCTTCTAAGGATGTTAGCAGCCATGTTTTTGTTGGCCGTGTCTTTTATGAGTCAATTGGATGGACTAATAAGCTTGAGAATGAGAAAATTACCTAGAAACGTCATTGAATTTAGAATAAATAGTTAAAGTATAAGGGGTTATATATTCCTTGAAAACACTATGCGTGAGCTTTTAAAACCTTTTGTAGTACGTCCTTATATGTTACGTATCGCATGTGTAAATCTTTGTGGAGAGTTATGTTATTGACATACCTGGGTGCTTTTTTTATTGCCTAAGAGTTTCAGCCTAAAATGTTTGTAGTTTCTGAATATATATATATTTTTTTATAACGATTTCATATATCTGTATCGTGTATCCGAATAGGTTTTTGTCTTAGGTCTAATTGAGAGTGATATCCCAGGTAATGTGTTTTGACAGATTGGGGGTTGTGTTCGTTGTCAATACATGCTGGAGGGATGATTTCATGTCGAAATCAAAAATTGATGTGTTGGACTTTGTTGTGATTCGGTTTTGTTTTCCAAAGATTAGACCAGTTTTTTTTTTTTAAATAAGTAATTTTGTATTTGTGAGGCCTATGTGAGAACTTTATGCCTCATGATAATAGTAGAATCATCTGCGTAATTGGCTTTCAAATAGTCATTAAAGTTGGGTATGTGTTGTGTGTATATTTTGTACAGCAGTGGTTCAAGAATTGATCCATGGGGTACTCCGGCCGTGATTGGTCTAAAAGATGAGATTTCGCAGCCTTGATGGACGGAGAAAAATCTATTTGAGAGGAATGATAGCAGGATAAGCTAGTAAGAAGGATGAAGTATTGTTTTGAGTTTAAAAAGGAGTGCCTTATACTGGACCCAATCAAATGCCTCAGCTACATGCTGATATCCACCGGTGGCGTACATCTTTTACTGTAGTGGTGTTGCTATGAAATGAAATGAAAATGAAAAAAATGTTTTATTATTCTGGGACTGTTGTCCCTTAAGAACAAAATATGAATACAGATTTTATGTCTGTGTGGCTACAATTAAATTGTATATTTACAATGAAAGTTGACTTACGATAAAAATACAAAAAGGGAAAGAAAAGAACAAGTAAATTGTACATATGTATGAGAAACTAAAATAACCTTAATAAATTGAGGTAGTCTCTGGTGGTGCTCAGATATTACTCTTGGATATATTTCACAATCATTCGGATTGAGAAAGGAGTAGGTGCTTAAAGAGGAGAGGTTTGAACGAGGAAACTGATTGAGCGTGTCGAATATCAGCTGGGATGGAATTCCAGAGGGAGGCGGCTTGTATTACAAAGGATTTGTCAAACGCAGCAGTTCGGTGAGGAGGAGGTAGTGGTCGGAAGTACGAGATCTGGTGGGACGGGATTGGATGGAATATTTGAATTGTAAGCTGTGAAAAATATAGGAGGGTCGATGGGTTCTAATGATTTGGTACAGAAAGGTGGCTAGGAAGTACTGACGGCGATAGGATGGGTAGAGCCACCTCAACTCAGTGTAATACTGGGTAATATGCGTATCCCTTGAGATTCCGAAAACAAATCGTAGTGCGCAATTCATTAGGCGTTTAAGTTTGACCTCGGAATCTCCCGGGAGTACACCGTACACCATACAACCATAGTCGAAGTGGGGGAAAACAAGGGAGGAAACTAGGAGTTGACGGGACTTATATGGAAGGAGATATCGTAGACGATTGAACTGTTTTAGGGTGGAGATAGTGCGACGGGAAATTTGGGAGATGTGAGGTTTCCAGGATAGGGATTGATCGAAAGTAACACCTAGGTTTTTAACGGTGGTGTAGAATAAGATAGGTGAGTTGTTCAGGAAGAGGTTGGGAGATACCGGGGAGGATTTGAGGAGTGAAGGGGATCCGATCAAGATGGTTTTTGTCTTCTCGGAGTTCAGAGTGAGCCTATTGAGGTTTGCCCAAGCACTTATTCTGTCAATATCTTCCTGAAGTTTTTGAGTGGCATCTGAGATATCTGTCGGATTAAAGGAGAGGTAAATTTGAATGTCGTCGGCATACAGGTGGTAATGACAGTGCAGGATAGAGAATGGGAGGTCATTTATATAGATGGAGAAAAGGGTGGGGGATAAGGAAGAGCCTTGTGGGACGCCTCTGGTCAGAGGTAGAGATTCTGATGGTGGGTTATTAGAAATTACAACGTACTGGGAGCGACCGGTTAGGAAGGATTGGAACCAATTAAGGGAACTAGAAGAAAAAGAGATATTTTTAAGTTTTGTTAGGAGGATGTTGTGGTCTACTGAATCAAAAGCTTTGGAGAAGTCTAGGAGAATAAGGATGGTTAGTTTCTGCTGATCTATGGCTGTGTGAAGGTCTTGGGAAATTTTGATTAGGGCAGACTGAGTAGAATAACCAGGCCTGAAATCGGACTGGTAGGGATTTAGGAGATTATTGTCCTCTAAAAAATAGGATAGCTGGGATTGGACTAACCGCTCTAATGGTTTTGAGAGGTTTGAAAGGAGGGAAATCGGTCGGAAATCATTAGGAACTGATGGGTTTGAAGTCTTCTTCAATGGGCGTACTAGGGCGGTTTTCCAGGTTGTAGGGAAGGTAGCATTTTGAAGAGAATAATTGTATATATGATAAACGATCGGAAGAATGGATGGCAATGCGGCTTTAATCAGTCTGACTGGGATGTTGTCGGGACCGTAATCATTGGTATGGGACTTCTGAATGGATTTAAGGAGCTCTTCTGGTGTAATATGGGAAAGAAAGAAGTGATCAGGATTAAAGAAAGAGAACATAGAAGCCAGACTGGACGTGGGAGATGTGGATGCGAGAGGACAGGAGACAAAGTGAGCGTTGTCTATGCACTAGCGGATCCAGGATTTAATTTTTTTGGGGGGGGGGAGGGCTTCAGCCCGACACTTTTTTTTCATAAAAATAACGATAATTACTTTGGAAAAACAGAAAGAAACTAACTACCTATATGAAATGGTGTTTAATTTATTCCTTAAGTACTTTTAAATGTAATTACACGAACAATAATGCTTTAAGAGGTATTTTTTAAAAAAATTTCCCATAAAAAATGGTTATATTTTTCCATTTTGGGGGGGGGGGCTTCAGCCCGAAAGCCTCCCCCCCCCCGTAGATCCGCCCGTGTTGCTATGTAGCCAGTCTCTCAGTGTCACTGTTGACTAGTAGAATGTAATGAAGGAAATCCAAACAGATGGTCCAGTAAAGTTTGTTTGTCCATTAATAAAGAATGGAGTCTTTTGTATAGTAGCTTTAAAAAAAATGTTTGCGCATGTAGGAAGTTAACTGATAGATCTGTGAGATGAAGTAGAGGAAATTTCTTTACCTGGCTTATCATGGATTTGTACTCCCACTAAATAGGAAACTTGACTATCCTCGGTTTAGCAATGGAAATGGTAGTTAAAAACAACACAGCTTTCCAGGATATAAGCCGTAGAACTTCGGCATTAATTTAATCATAACCAGAGATATATTTTAAAAACCCTCTTTGGTTTCTACAGGTGTTGACAGTTATGAATTTTGTGGCTATGTCCTCGAGGAAGATTGGATATCTTAGTAATTTACCATTAGATCGTTTGTAGTGAGCCCGTGTATGTTTGTTGACTGTTAGTAGCTTGTAATTTAGGGAGGTAGACGCAATGTCAGAATCTGTTTTGTAATTTGGAATCCACGTTGTCTAGGTAAACTAAAAGGCATATATAGTGCCAAAGATTAAATTAATAAATGAGTTGAGAAAGTCACTTTTCGAGGGAAAAAAAAAAAAAAATTAGTCCAGGCAAACTCAAAACGACCGATAATTAATGGGATTAATGGTGCTATGCTTCGAAAATACTTACCTATCTCAAAAGAATGAAAACTCATCAAATTTCAAATTTATCTGAAAAAGTTTTCTCTAACGGAGAAAAAGATGTTGAAACGAACGAATAATAAGATAGTAAGTGGGTATGTTACCCTTAACTGAAAGTGTAGACACATAAGCTTTTAGGCTTCCTAAGTGGAAACAGTTATAAAAAAAAATGTAAGGTTACAATTTATGATATTTTTAAATATATGTATATTTTTGTATTTTTTTTTTAGGAATTTATTTTATTTATTTGGCAGTACATAATATTAAGAAATTTGATATATAAATAAAACATAAATTTAACATATTCAAACCATATTCATAATGAAAAAAGAATTTATCGTCTTCTTACGATTTGAAAACAAATACCCCAAAGCTTTCCCCATTCAAGAGATTGGGAACCCCATTGAACTGTGGGTGGTTAAAGCACTTATATTGCTTCTTTTTCTTCTTTTTTTTACGTAGAATTAAAGTAAATGTACGACGATTAACTTAATTCTAAGTATTTTTTAAAACTCAAAATTAAAGATATTTTTTAAAAACCGTGCATTTTTTAATCGAGCCTTGATTTTACAGCCGAAATTTAATTTTTTTTTAAAGTTGATTTTGCGTTAAGCTCCTTATCTTTTATTAAAATTCGTAGTCCCTCCAGTAACCCGGCGGAGTTTTGTCAAGGAACATTCAGCCAAGTGGCAATAAAATGTTTTTTACTTTCATACTTTTTTGTTTGAAAACTGGAAAATAAATGTATATAGATATACAGGAACCGCGGATAATAGGATCATGAGGATAAGGGATTTGTAAGTGGCTCTATACACTTGCATTCAATTAATTTATTAAATATGTTACCCCCAAATATACTATTATTTAAAAAAAAAATGTGTGTACTTTTATAATGATTTTGTTACTTATATCAAACAAGTCGAGTCTAAAATATCTTTTCGATCCAGAAAGACAACTTAAAAACGTTCTTTTGAATATAAAAATTAGGAACACAAAATTTAATGTCTGTTCTTATATATTCCATGTTTTGGACGCCTCTGTTCTCGACTACAAATCTAATATAATATATAATAAAAGTAAATAAATGTTGACATACATGCCTACCTACATTTTATAAAATATTTTGGTTCAAATATTTTAATTTAAGCAATTAAAACTGAAATTTAGCTCTTAAATTTCGAAATATGCAATATCATGCAACAAAAACAAAAAAAAAACGCGAAAATGAAATTTCAATACGCTATTCTACAGAAATTGAAACGGTTTGAAGTTTTCAGGCTTTCGGGCTGAAGCCCCTCCAAAATGGTAAAATATAACCTTATTTTATGGATTTTTTTTTTTTTAAATAACTCTTAAAGTATTATTGTTCGTGTAATTACATTTAAAAGAACTTAAGGAATCACTTAAACACCATTTCATATAGGTAGTTATTTGAGTTCTACCAATGGGTAGTTTCTCTTCATGTTGTACATGTCATGTTACCAATTTCACATTTACTTATTGTGTTTTCTATGTAATACAGTTGTAAATTCCATTAAAATAATAAAAAAAAATATAGGTAGTTAGTTTCTTTCTGTTTTTCCAAAGTAATTATCGTTATTTTTATGAAAAAAAAAAGTCGGGCTGAAGCTTCCCCACAAATTAAATCCTGGATCCGCTAGTGGTTGTAGTTGTTTTAGAGGATGACTACGAAGGTTTGGGTTGCCACATTCCTCTATCACCTGGACAGGATTGGACTATTCCAATTTTCCGAAGGGTTTCAGTGTGGTCTATTTACAGTTGAGCCGACATAAATCACTCTTGCCGAGCTATTTTAATGGTTGCCTTAAAGCTTGGTCCAGCTTCAGAGATACGACTACTCCGTTCTGTATGAACTGTTCAATTCCAGTGACCTCATTCCTTTTGGCTTACAATGTCTTGATTAAGGGATTTTTTTCGATTTGATGTAATTATGTTTAGGTTATTTATCTCCTAAGCTAGAATAGTTTTATACTACCCACATATACAAGTATTCGGTTCGCTCCCTCTTTCTTCAAATTTAAAACCCTCCCATTCCAATTTCTCTTCACAAAACAATCAAGAGCTGGCTAACCATGTCTTTTTCCATTATTCGCGTTTCTTTTATGAATATGAACAAATATTTGAAATGACATGAAAAATAATTTTATTCTGGAACTGAAGTCCCCTTAGTATTATAATAGTAGTCAAAAAAATATGTACATTAGTCCGGATATCATACTAATATATACAAAAAATACTTAGGAAATTGTAAATATATATATAAAGATACTAAGGGAAAATACAAATATTTAAAGGAAAATATAAATGTCTACAAATAATACTAAGGAAAAACACAGATATATACAATAAATACTGAGATATAAAAAAAGTTAATAAATAAAAGGAAAATGACTTATCAATTAACTGCTGGTGATCAGCGTAATTATACAGGAGCGTAATTGCACGGCACTATTTTAGGTATGTGTTCACTAACACAAAATAAACAAAAAAGTTCATATTAACATATATCTCAAACTCATTGATTAAACAGATATCAAAGGTTAAAAATTTATTATTTATTTACTACATTAAGACTGACTGTATGAAGTTTAACGTGTTTAATACTAAATAACAGGTTTTAATCACCTGATAAACAAATGAAATATAAGCAATAACAGTTGTTGCTCATCTGCTTGTCTATTTCAGTGTGTTTTAGTGTGAGTGAATACTGGGACACTGTTCAATTTATGATTATCATGGGAGACACCATAAATTTATTCACATGCAGAACAAACAGGCATCATCAAATAATATTAACTCGTTTCATTTACTCTATTAAGGTAATAATAATTAAAAAAAATATGGTCGAAATTATTTAATATTTAACTTAATTATTTTTCTAAAATTTGCCGTTCCCTAAATTTTGCTCCCGGGGCAAATGCCCCTATGCCCATCCTTAGACCTTGTCCCAAAATAAAGTTTATTTTCTATGTATCTATATATATATATATTTTTTTTTTTATAGCCTTGCTTTTTTTTTTATCCAGTCAGAGCAGTACGTCTTTTGGTCAAAAATAACTCCCTACCCCTTTTTTTTGTGTGTACAACATTATACATTATTTCTTATGGAACTTGGTATCAGAATTAAGATATTTTTCTATTCTTTGTCGAATTCAAAAGTAACTGTCAGAACCACCATATAGTCGTAGTATGGCCTGAAAAAACTTTTATTTTTTTTTTTAAACTGGTTAATTTTTAATTATCTCTATTTTTCATACGAGAGGGTTGTATAATAATGGTTCTGGTTCATATCGTATTTACAAAATAAATAAAATTCAAAAAAAAAATTATCAATAGAACCTATCATAAACAAGCTAAAACATATAAATTATTGGTAAGACATGCAATATATTCTTATTAGCCGAGAATGTTTAAAATAGACCGAACTGTTGAAGGATGGCTATCAAAAGCATACTATCATAATTATCTGGTAGTGAAATTAATTATTTTCGAAATGTGAAACAAGGCCTAGCACTGATCCGACTGTATCCTTCTTCTATTTTGAATTCACATTAATTTTGAATATTTTTGGAACGTTTCCTGTAAGCTAGAAATTAAAGATAGACCGGCGGCTAATGTTTAACTTGTAGGTATATCACATGGATGCTATAATTTGTATCTGACTGCAATTTGTTAAAATATGTTTTTTTTTATGATCGTAACAAAAATAAATTTTTACTATATTTTTATTTAATTGAAAAGATCATAGTGATATATATATATATATATATATATATATAATTATTGAGGTCCATTTTTAAATTATTTCATACACCAGATACAAATTGTAAACTAATAACCCATGTCTTGGAAAAAGTGTTTTCTCCTAAGTTAAGAATACACCTTGGTTTGGCGAATTTCCAATTGTCTCAGTTTAGTCAAACAGTAAAATTCCAGTCTCTAAAAAAGACCCATATGTTTCTCAACCCTCTTCGTAAATTTATATACTATCAAATTGTATTCATCAAAGAGTGATAATTTAAGAAAATGTGTATAAGTTAAAAGATGTGGACAAAAATTAAGTTCATCATCTCGAAAAACTGTTTTTTTGTAGGCATTTAAAGAAAGAAAGTAAACTTTATTCTGGAACATTTAGTCCCCTCAGAATAACTACAATGAACGGAGAAATGACAATTGTCTGGCTACTGTGAATAATGTGAAATGACAATTAAAAATAAATTAATTTACAAAGTTGTCTAACCTTAATATTAAAATAAAGGAGTATGTAAATCTTTCATAATAATAAAAATTCTTAATATTAAAAATAAAGACACTGTAGTAAACATATGATCTTGAAGTAGACATATGAATTTAAAGATGATTACATACGGGTGAGTTCACGTATTTGTACAAATAAGCAATATGACACATACATAGATATCTGCAAGATATCGGTATAGTGTAACTGACATCTCTAAAGTACAAAATAACTTTATTTTACATATATTCGGAAGATTGATTACTGAGGAGATGGAAAAATAAATTATGTTTAAATGAGGCCAGGGATGAGGATTTCCGTAAAGAGGTTGGTAGGGAATTCCAAAACGAGGTAGCACGTATGACGAAGGATTTTTTAAAGGAAACAGTTCCATGAGAAGGAATAAACAAATTTGAGGATTGGGATCTCGTGATGAACGAATGAACAGAGAAACAAGGAGTAAAGAAATCAAGAAGGTAATAAGGTTTTTTGGTTGTAAAGGTTAGGAAAAGGAATACACCTAGGTAATATTGCCGTCACACAACTGGATAGAGCCACTTCAACTCGGCATAGCAACTGGAGACGTGGGAGCGCCTGTGGACTCCAAGTATAAATCTAATGAAACAATTCATTTACGATTATTATTTCGTAATATGATTATTTTTATACTTATTTTTAATTTTGGACAATTGGAGTAATCAGATGAATAAAAAAACAAACAATATTTTTATCTTCTTGGCTACACATTTAAGATTTAAATTAAGATTCATAGTAGTTGGATAATTTTGTGTCACGTGTGAAACTATTAATAATGAGTTTAACAACCTTTCGGTATCTAAAATAGGATTCCCCAATTAAAGGATCAAAGTGGATTCGTAACCTTGATTGAATGAATGAATCCTTTAAACAAGGAACCTGTTCACGACACTGTCTTAAATAAAGTTCCGTTCCGACAGACACCATATTATCAAACTATATATATGCAGATATGCTCACTTATAGTTCCATTGTTCTTCATCTATATTTGAAAAAAAGGAAAAGAAAGATTTCCTTATTATTCTGAGACAAAAATTCGTTTAGAAAAAAATTAAAAGAACATTGCGTAGTGGCCAAAACAGTGTGCAACATAGAGAGAAAAGGTTAACAGTAACGTAGAAAATAGGATAAGAAAATAGCCTGGGAACCTTTAGAAATATTAGAGAAAATCATTTTATGTAAAATAATATTAATTAAACTGGGCGAGAAAAGGTGGTTGAAAAGTAGAGCTTTTAACGACGAGACCAGTGAAGCATGTTGGGAAGGACATGTCAACGCAGCAGTTCGACGGAGAGAATGTAGAAGTCAGAAGGGCAAGATCGGGAAGGACTGGATTGGATAGAATATTTAAATTGCACGCTCTGTAATATATAAATTGGGCGCTGATATCTGATAATTTGGTATAGGAAAGACACAAGAAATCAGTGACACCAGTAAGATTGGTGAACATTTAGTTCGACATAATAATATGCGCGTGCATCTGAATATCTGTGGCAAATCTGTATAATTAATCTACGGTCTAATCTCAGAGCAGAATTTGGGTCGGATCATGAATTAGTGATCTACAAAAACTTAATATAAAAAAGGGAAAAGAAAACCGTTTTGATATCGAGAATTTTAATTTGGAAACATTAAAATATCCATCAATTAGAACTCCATTCGAGCTAGACGTTAAGAATAGATTTGAAGCTTTATAACCTTCTGACGAGGACTGCGACGATATAGACAAGTTATGGGTAGGGACCAGGGATAACATTGAAGCGGTTGGTAACTCGTGTCTTGGGAGAAAATAAAATAAAAGGAAGAACCCATGGTTCGATAAAGATTGTTATACATGTGTGATAAGAGAAAATCTGCTAAATTAAATGCTCTAAATAATCCTAGCAAAGACAATCTCGAATACTTCCGTTCCTCAAAGAATGAAACGACAGAACTGCTCAAAAATTAAAAAAAAAAGGTACAAGGAAACATGTCAAAAAGGGATAAACAGATCACATAATTGTTTAGGGTCCGTCACGTCTAGAATTAGGGATGAAAATAACAATATTCTGACCGATTCGGTAGACATATTAAATAAGTTTAAAAACCACTTTGACAATATTTTCATACGGGAAATAATTATCTGTGTCCTCCTTCTGGGTACCAGGGTGCTGAATCTTTAATAGAAGAGTAAAGAGGAAGTTAAAGTAGCTATCAGAAAATTAAAATCATATAAATCAACGTGAACCGATGACATTCCTAGTGAACTAATTAAGGCATGCGGGGGAAGCTGGAGTTTCTAAAATATATATGTTGGTTAAAAAGATCTAGGGGAATGAGAAATTAACTGAAGTATGGAAAGAAACTATTCTTATTCCAATTCACAAAAAGGGTCCGAGGACGGATTGCAATAACTATCGAGCAATTTCACTCGAAGAATTATCCCTTAAGTTGGGTCATATGCAGTTAGCTACAGAACTGTTTAGCTACACAACCTCCCACCATCAAAAGGAGGCTCAAGGAGACAAAGGAGATTTAGTCCCCTAAGAATAAAAAAAATAGGTAAATCACCATCTCATAATATTAAACGATTTCATTCAGTAGATTAAAGTCAAAATAATAAAAAAGCAGGATAAAATATTTTTACCTGACATTGAAATACATCTATATAAATAAATTTCTATCTATCGTCAATAGAAATCAAGAATTCAACACACTAGCCAAGGTGGTGTTGCTTCAGATCTTTTTGAATAAGTAGTTATGGGACCATTGATAAAAACCACTGCAACATATGTTTTTTTTCTTAGGTCTATTTCTCTTTCGAATGAAGGCTAGGATTTTGAAGAGTTATTCCAGAAAAGGGTGTTTATATGGTTTCTTTTTCATTAAGCTCAAGCTGATTTAGGCACTTGGAGAACTTTGTTTACTCTTAGAAAATAAATTATCCATAATAATAAACATAATAAACTTCGTCACAAGAACTGCACGTTTTTGATAGAGTATTTTTAATTTGGCAATATGCAGTTAGCAATAACATCGTTTAGCTACATAATCTCACACCATATCGTTTCAAAATAAGGATCAGATACAATTCAAGTGACTTCCGACGCTTTTACCGACGTATCCGTTGTTCATTGAATGAAATATAACAAAATTGAACCGTAAATGGAGGATGAAGTAGTGGGTCTCATTGTTAGGTTTTTTTTTTTTGTTTTTTTTTAGAAAAATCATTTTTATTCTGGGACTAGATCCCTTTAGAATAACAGTATTGTTCATATAAATTAACCATAACTCTGGCCAAAAGACTTATTAGAATGAATAATAACAAAATACTAGTAGTAAATTAAGTATTAATTAAGCTCTTAAATTAACGAGAACAGTTGGGTAATAGGGGTTCAGTACTACAATATTGTATATAAAACAATAGCATAATAATCACTGAATGAAATTAGAAAGGAGCGCAAAATCAATTTTATAGGCAAAGCATTGTAGTGATGGAATATAAAAATTTAAAAAATAATAATAACTGTTAGGTTCCCATTATATTCAAAACTGATATGGTGAATATATTTTGTCAGGTAGTAGTTCATCCCTCAGAACAGACCAATTTCAACACAAATAATCTGAAGATGTCTGATGCTCAGGTGAATACCTATGGACTCAACATCATCGCTTATGGATTGAAGCCATCTCATTCCAGGCAATAGGGATCATTTACCAATCCTACACTTCGTGGTAGTTCACGATCTGGGCAGATAATCTTTTTCACACCTCTATCAAGCAGACAATTTTACATAAATCGTGATTATTAATTATCAGATTTCAACGCATTCATGCACCTTAATTCTATGTTTTTTTAGTTATAAGATATTTTAATCATTTAATTTTTTTAAAAAATTGTATAAAGAGTTGTTACAATTTGATATCGTTCTTATTACTATTGTTAATATAACATTAGTTTAGAATACTTTATATTGTTAAACAAGTTTTAAGCATATTTTAAAAATATTCTAATGTTTTTAAGTGAGCAGTAATAGTTAGTAGAAATCAATGTTTATCAAAGGGATGTCGCGAAAATTAAAAGTATTATATTAAGTAAC